GATTGTCTTGCTCATTTTCCTGTCTCCATCAGGAGTCAGTAGAGTCTGGGTGGGCTGGGTTTTCTCCTCTGACACCTGTGATATCTCCTAGAACCTGGAAATCAACAGACCTGCAGATGTATTTGGATGGATAATGCGTCCAGATCACTGTTAAATAGTCATCAGAGCTCTAATTCTATTTTAAACTCATTGTGGGAGAATATTTCAAGTACCACAACTATACACTCACATGAAATTTTATTAAAACAGCCTCGCTATTGCCAGATGCTTCCTAGCTACATCAAGAGAAACTGTAAATAATCACTTGCCACTGATGGTTTGAGGTCTATTAATTCTTTTTCTTCCATAGCTCCTAACATATGGTAGATAAGCTATTCAATTTCCTTGTTCCTTTTGCCCAAGCTCTCCTAGCTTTGTTAACCCATCACGTAGTGTGGTGTGAAAGCACGTACAGTATTGAAGATGTGGGTTCAGGATTGTGTATGGTCTCATTTTAGTAACAAAGAACATTCTGCTTGGATTTTGGTCACTGCTGCTCACTAAGTTTGAGGGATGGTGACCTCATTCTCTTCTGAGTATTTAACGCAGAGCTCAGTTTATATTAGCTTATGTTTCTTCATGTGCTATTGTGTCATACTGTTAACTGGTCTTTTAGTGTCTTTGTATTCTTCAAGTTTTTTCATGTCTGCTCAGCACTGGTGAGGCCAAACCTGGAGTATTGTGTCTGGTTCTGGGCTCCTGGTACAAGAGAGATGTGGACGTACTGGAGAGAGTCCAGCAAAGGGCCACTAAGATGATTGAGGGACTGAAGGAAAGGCTGAGAGAACTGGGACTGTTCAGTGGATTCAGTGCATTTGGTTTCAAATGGATTTGACTTTCTTGAATCAAGTTTAGATTCAGAATCGTCACCTCATTATTCACCACCTCTTACAGATTACTCTAGGACAATTTCTGTCATGTGCAAGAGGCCCTGCTGGTAGCCTTCAGTTGTAAAAACTCATTTTATTTCCTAGTTCTCAATCAATTACTAATCTGTGAGATGATCATTCCTCTTGTCTCACAGCTTGGTTTCTTTTAAGACCCTTTGAGACCTCCTATGAAATGTTCAAAAAGCTTCTGACACTATCAGCTGGATCACCCTAATCCACGTGCTTATTGATTCTCTTGGAGAATTGCATTCAACTTGTGCGGTTCATCAGCTTATCCAATTGCCTGGTAATATCTGAACTGTGTAGGGAATGGCTTAAAGATTCTAAGATGCCCTTTTCTTCCCAATGTTTATATGCTCTTCTATGCATCAAACTCTTGAATTATTGTTATGTATCAGAGGAAGCACAAGAAAAGCTATGCTAGGATTACTTAAAAGGAATTTATCTCTAGGATGAAATTTCCTAGCAATTGCTATGACATGTGGGTGTGATAAATGTATTAATCTTGTCAAGAAGCAGGAGTAAAGGTCTGCAACAGACTAATTTGCTGTGGTGGTAGAGTCAAAAGGGGAAGATCTGATTCTTGGTGCTAGTGGAGCACTCGTTAAGCCATTAGCATCACACTTAGTATTACTGACTAATGAGAAGAAAATCTCCTTGGAAACTTGATTCACTTACAACCTGTGTTAATGACAGGGCACTATAAAGGAGTTAAAGGAGGAGAATGAAGGTCTGGCACAAGAAGTTGAGAAGCTCAAGAAATTTCAGAAAACTTGCATGGTGATTTTAGAAAGCAGAAACATTGATCCTGGTAAGGACTGTGCATTTCACATACCATTCTGGTGCTCGTTCTTCAGAACACTTTTTCTTCTCCCTGTTGTGACTGTTTGTAAGACATTTGGACTCTGCTTCCTTGCTAAGGAGATACTACTGTAACTCCAAGGGATTTTTTTTTTCCTAACTTAAGAGAGAAAGCTGCTTCCTGTAGCAGGCCCTGTCCTGGATAAACTTGGAAAATAATTTAGTCTTTCTTGTAGAAACTTACTCTGAAAAGCTGTTAGTTCTTACAAGCAAAGTTATCTGTATATTAGACGTTCACCAGTGCATCTCATAAATCAGTTACAGGCAGCAACATTTTGGAGGAGGAAGAAA